TGGTCTAGGCCTGCAGGATATGTTTGCATGGAACAATGCCTGTATCTGTCGCCAAATCTAGGCAATCATGCTGCAGCAAGGATCACTCTGGGTGGCCTGGATTTTGAATTACAAGCCGAAGGGGAGGAGTTTCTGGGATACTAATATAGATGGTTCTTGGAACTGGAAGAGGCTGCTAAAGCTGCGAGGTAAACTTCCTCACATTTTCAGCTTGATTGATGGCAAAGTCTATTGGAATGATTATGTTATGCCAAGGTATTCTGTTAAAGTGGTTTGGAGTCATTAAGGCCTAAGCTAAGTTCAGTTTCATGGGTTGGCTTGGTTTAGTTGCTCTTTCTGTTCCTAAAAATCTTTTCCTGGTCTAGCTTATCATCAAGGATAGGATCCAGACAAAGGAGAAAATGAAGAAGTGGGGTTATGCAGGCTCAGATTTATGTTGTCTTTGTAATCAGATGCCTGAAAGTAGAGATCACTTATTCTCTCAATGTGAGTTTTTTAGAAAGCTTTTCCATGATTTGTTGGGGGGGTTTTCTGGATTCATGCCAAGGGACTGGGAAGATGGATTGCAATGGGCCACAAGAGAGTTTGGGAAGAAAAAGATGGATGCAGGGCATGGGAGGATCATATGGCATTCCATGATTAGCCATGTACGGCGAGAATGTTGCATTAGAATGTATGAAGGGAAGAGTTGTAGTACTGGGGGTTTGATCAAGATAATCCGAAGTGAAATTCTGTTGCTGCTGCAGGAGGAAGAAGCTGCAAAATTCTGGATCTCGGCCGTTGATTCTTCTCGATTATTGGATAGCTTTATTGGAGGTGAAATAGATAGTCTAGTGTTTTTATCTGTGGGTTTATTTTGTTGTACGACCCAGATGGAAGGGCTAACCTAGCTGGAAAGGTTGTTTTCAGCACCTCTTTTCTTTTGATGAAATGAAAAGTCTTATTCATAAATAAAAAACACACAAATAAAGTAGACTATATTGGTCATATATCATTTGAAATCCACAATTTTATAGTTCTTATTCTAAAAATTTCTAATTCTACAAAATATGTGTACAAAAACCTCCAGCTATATTTAAAAAGCTCTTAGTTCAATAAAAAAATTTCCTATCAATATACAATTTCTTTGTCATCAAATGTATTTTATAAAACGTTTGTGTGTATTAGATTTTGCTTGAGAACTATTTATTTTAGCTAGTTATTGAAAAGTCACTTTTCAATTATGAGTTACACAAAATGTAAGGTACAAATCTAATAACTAATGGTTTGACGAATGACTACTTGACTGAGTATTTTTTTTAAAAATTACTTATAATTGAATACAATGTTATAAGATTTTTCGTAAATGGGACCCCACTAAACTCGAATCTTGGCTACGCCACTACACACAATACCATATGGTGTGTGCTAACGAAATATATATTGATATTACCACACTATACCATATGGTATAGTGTGGTAATATCAATATATATTCCGTTAGCACACTATACCATATGATATCGTGTGGACAATATCATACAATACCATATGTTATAATGTGGTAATATCAATATATATTTCGTTACAGCAAAATATTGTATGGTATAGAGTGGTAATATCAATATATATTACCTAAAAGAAGAAAAAAACAGAAGGAGGGAGAGAAAAAAAACTCGTCTTCCGTCTCCTCATTTCCTCTTCCGCAATCAAAAACACTAAAATGCCAAAAAAAGGAAGAAGATCGGAACTGATGCCAATGATTTGATGAAGAGAAAAGCGCAATGAAAGAGGGAGGCTGCAATTATTCTTCAATGATTGATGGAGAGAAAAAAAGAAGAATAGAAGCAAATCTAGATATGGAGAAGGAGATTGGGAGAGAGCAAAGAAGAGAGAGAGTAAGGAGAAAAAATGAAGAAAAAAGAAATTTAGATATGCAGAAAGAGAATGGGAAAGATATAGAGAAAGGAGAGTTGCAGAGAAAATAATATTTCTCTCTCCTTCATTGAAAAGTCAACCATTGAATGTTGGATAAATTAAAGAAAAAAATTTAAATTTATAAACGAACAAAAATGCCCCACAACACTCCGCGTCCAGCCCAGCCGCATGATGGTTGCTCCCTTAGATTTACGACCCATATTTATTACTAACAGGTCAGTAACTACTACTGATCGTATCGCAAGCCGAGCCAATCGGTCAGCAGAAATTAACAAATTAAGTTTTAGAAAAATAGAAAATTACATTTTGGTATTTGAATTTATTTTTTCTTAAAATTTAGTAAATTAATTTTGTTTACAAATAGGTTGAGAAATTTTAGGATAAATTATATTTTAGGACCTATAAAAAATTTTCTTGTATAATAATTATTATAGGGTAAATTGCATGGTTGGTCACTTAAATTACAAAAAATGTTCATGTTTGGTCACTACAAATATTTAATTCCATTAGTGGTCACTAAAATTAGTTTGATAGTTCATATTTGGTCACCCTCCGTTACCTTCCGTCAACCTCCGTTAACACCGTCAATTTTTTGCTGACGTGGCTAACAGAAGTGCTGAGTCACCCAACTTTAACCCAAAAAAAAGATAGCTTACCCGCCACATCAGAATCCGACCACGTCAGCCAATTAACTGAGTCAAACCTAACTCTGTCCCCGATCGGTGGCCAGTTATTTACCCCTTCCTCTTCCCCGACGAAGTTCTGGGAATGGACAGTTCTCCCTCCCCTTTTTTCCTTCTTCGATCGGCTTTCCCGTGGCTATCATCATCACATTAGCCTCAATCCCAATCAAAGCACAATCCCAATCAAGAGAAGCGGTGCATTCCACTTTAGCCTCAATATAATTATCAATTCAACAAAATAGAGCATTCAAACCTAACTAAAGAAGCAAATTTCAGCTACCCAACACCAATTGCACGAACGAACAGAGCGTCCAAACTAAAAATGGATTAAAACCCAAGGAAACCGAGACAAATTAATAGGAAGCGATATTGTCGCTGCCTCCAACTCTTCCTTTGCTGATAGAGTCGCCGCCTCAATCCTCTCCATCTTCCCCATTCTTGAGCCGTGAATCAGTTGCGGCGGCGCTGTTGGAAACCGGACCAGGCCCGCCGTCGTCCAACACCATCTATATCTCTTGAGCATGGGGATCGATGACAGGAATTGGAGAGTGGAATCGACGAGGGAAGAATCGGGAGCCGAGTAGACCACAATTGGGATTCGTTTGACTGATCTTCTTCCATCGATTCACGAGCGGTGGTGGTGGATTTTGCGATAGAGTTGGACGCCTACGAGTAAAGTTCATCTTCCTAAGGTCTTCTTCTCCGATTGGAAAAGCGGCGGTGAGGGCGAACTCGGAGAGGGATTTGGACTTGGAGCAGGCCGATGTTGTACTGGACGGAGTCGAGGATGGTTGGTGACCTCGTGGCAGGCGGCGGTGAGGGCGAGCTCGGAGAGGGATTTGGGTTTGGAGGAGGTGTTGGAGGAGGCGACGATATTGGACTTGAAAGAGGAGTTGCGGCGGTGAGGGCAAGCTCGGAGAGGTATTTGAGTATTTGTGCTTGAGACTCTTCCGATGAGCTTTTAGTTTTTTTTTTTTTTTTTGTCCGGTCAACTAAAGGAAGAAGATGAAGGATTGGGTCACGGGTCGGGTGGGTATCTCACGGTTTAGCTGACTGTATGGGTCGGTTGGGTATCTTTTTATAGTTTAAGCTGGGTGATTCAGCACGTCGTCTGTTAGTCACGTTATCAAAAAATTAACGGTGTTAACGGAGGCTGACGGAAACTAACGGAAAGTGACCAAATATGAACCATCAAACTAATTCTAGTGACCACTAACGAAATTAAATATTTGTATTGACCAAACATGAATGTTTTTAGTAATCCAATTATTAATCCGAGTGACCAACCGTGCAATTTACCCAATTATTATACTGTTAAAATTTTACAAACAGATCTATTTGGTGCGATATTTTATATCACTAGTTGTTGGCATGTTCCTACGCATCACATGACCAAAAAGCTATCCAACCCTAAATGGAACCGACCATATACACCCTTTATAGGGTAAAAAATAAACTGACCCAATAGACAAACTAACCCAACCCGACCCTCAGCATCAAGCAGATCCAGAAATCTCTAAAGCCAAGCTTACACCCCTGCGGAAAGGTACATTCATATATGAGCCTCCACATGAGCTAGCTACGTGCTGTAAAATGGAACCAAATTACAAATATCGTTTTTGTGCGCCATACATCCCGTCCCAGGCAACGAACATGAAAGGACAAGCACAAAGCTCGAGTGAAAATGAAGGCTTTCCATTCTTCGTATCATCAGCTACTAATTAATTCATACAAAGAATAATTAACTACAGGCATAGATAGAACCCTTCAAAAAAATATACCTGAGCTGCGTTGAGGCAAACCCATCCTCCCAATTCCAAACCACAAGCATCCCATCTCCCAATCCTGTCAATTATAGGCCAAACCACACCCCTTGCAACCCACAAACCCCCATACCCCAATCCTTTCTTTCTTTCTTTCTTTCTTCCCTACTCATTTCCATTTTTCTATTAGGGTTTATAAAAGAATTGTTACTCTAGCTGTCTAGCAGTATGCAAAACCATACCCTTCGTCTAAAATCTAAGGGCAACAACCAAACCCTTCCTTAAACACCCTCCCTCCCTCCTCCTGAACCCTAGCTAGCTAAAATCATCCCTACATAAATCTAACATTCTCTTTTCCTTTTAATCATCATGGTCCATGGAACACCCACCCCCAACAACAAACAAAACATCAAGGAGCCTAAAAGGAGAATCTGTACAGCATAAAATTTGCATACACCAGCATCATCCTGATGCTATTAGGCAGCTTCCGAGACATGGACACTGCCCCGACCAACAACGGATCTTTCGATCTGATCTCATCCCCCCATCAACTCCAACTTTAAAGGAAGGCCCTTTTCTTTGGGAATTTAAAGTATAGTCTTGAGCATGACAGGCATGGATACTGGGAGACTGCAGCTTATTTTTTGTTCTTGAGATCGTGCCTGAACACCGTCAAGTTTTGGGTGAACTTGTCCTTGTTCTTCGAATCTAAGCTTCGCGTAACATCAGCCATAAGTTTGTCGAAACAAAGAGACAGCCGCTGGTGTTGATCCACTGGCTGCAAAACATAAGAAAATGGATTACAATTTGCAGAGATGTGCTTAAAAGAGCGCTCCGACAAAAATGAACCAACACCACGGCACAGGTCTACGGTCGTAGAAGCAGATAACTATATGCATTACCAAAAAAATATCAGTACCAATCAGCTGGCCACAAAAAGGAATATCCTAGCATTAGAGAAGAAGGCAAGTTACCTGTGATGCCAAAATCTGAGCCTTCAAATCAGAGAATAACTGCAAAGGAACCATATTGGTTAAAATGGAAGTACAACAGTAGGAAATCTTTACGTGGTCACAAAAACAACAAAAAATAATGATTCCCTGGTTATCTATAGGGCTGATGACCGCACAGCAGTCGATGTGGACATCAGATTTTCTAATTTACGTCTTTGACAAACTTCAAACCATTGCATCAGATTTCATCACATACTCATAGGGATATAAGCAATTAAGTATTTGGAATAACAGAATTAGAAATCTACCAAGAGTCACAAGACGCACATTCATAGAGGAACATTTTACGTCCGAAATTTCTAGAAAGAAAGACAAAAGAACTCTCCATATCATTCTCATAAGCTAATCCATGTTATTTTCAAATAATAGTCACACCCAGCTTGGGGAAAAAGAGACGAAGAGAATATCTCCCAAAATAGGAAAATGAAACTATATTAGCAGGAAAAGGCAGGTTAGATGAAAGAAAGGAACCCCCGCAACCAGATGAAAATTGAGGTCAGCCAGATTGGCAAGATAGAATAGTCATGCAAATTCTGGGGGAACAAGGCTTCTCTTTTCCAACCACAATGCTTGATATCAAGAAAGACACAAAACGAGCTTGTTACATCTTATTGAGAAAGCTCATGGCAGTTTAATTAACTAAGACCAATTTATGTTCTAAAAGTTCCAAAATTCCCGTAAAGCAGGCTATACTGCACTTGATCTATGCTGAACAGGGAACTTCCACTGATCTATTGAACTTTTCGAGACTCTGTCGAGGGACAATTAGCATTGCCCTAACTAAACCTGCCTCTCAAGTTTTGAAGATGACGGAGAGAATCAAAGTTCTAAAAGAAGATTTTAGTGAGAGAATATTTTTTTATCATTACCTGCTCATTGATAAGTATCAAGCTCAACATAGGTCTGCTAAGACTCCACTGGTTGGCACAGTCCTCAAATAAAACAATTTCAAACAGGGTCTTTAGTATCTGCAGATATATTTAACACAAGCATTAAGAAAATTTTCAAATAAAAAAAACATTAACAACCCATCAGCACGAGATTGACAAGAATGCACATAGCAGAAGCCCAAGAGCAGTACCAAGGGAAAATTGAGAAATGAAAAATTAGGGTTTAGGGCAACGTTTCACCCATAGTTCAAATTCCCTCACTAATAATAGCTCTAGCCATATGTATTCGTAACAGGTTAGGAATCATGAATGCAAGATGACATTAGGATAAAAAAAACGAATAATGCTTTCATATGGCAAAGTTACAAACAAAAAGGACCCTAATTGACAGTTTGACAAGATCTTAGTGCTGCAATTTCGGGTGAGATCTCATTCACATCCACTTAGATAATGTGTCATATTCAAAATTCTCTAAACAATGTCCATTCAATATTTATGTCTAGGCAATATCAAATAACTAGTTTATCTAACACAGGCAAGCAGCAGGCACTTATCTTATTACAAGAATACTCTACTTACTTCTGGAAACAAATTGGGGCAATCTGCAATGTGCCGAGCAAGATTGACTGCAGCAGGTAGCAGGGGTGGCTCCCCCATTGTGATGTTGTTGAAATAGAAAGCAGCCAAATTATCGACAGCAGATGCACACTGACGCACATGAAAACAGAAGGTTAGTGCAAGTGAAAAACATAAAATTTCCGCTACTAAGAAGAAGAAGGGTAAAGATAACTGCAGGGAGACAAACCTGTGATGAAATGTTGCTATCAAGACCTTTAAGACCAGATTCAAGACAGCCGACAATATGCATGAAGGTATTGGTGTCAAGATTGAGTATGAAAGATAGATGGCTGCAGAAAAGAACTTCCAAAAATCCAAAGTAAGCCTTCTGTAGCTGCAGAGACACCATCAAACATAACACACGATTATGTAAATAAGTGCAAAGAGGTAAGTCTAAATTAGGCCTATTTTACCAACAACCATGAGGTGCAAAAAGTGTGTCAGGAGCTAATAAAACTTGCCAAACGGTACACCTTATTAGGTAGGATAAACTTTTTACTCAAGATGAACAATATTACATAGAGAATAGCATTCATTTTGGATATTACTTGACATCAGTCAAACTACTGCTTTTCCATCGACCAGAAACGCAAAAAAGATTGTGGGTCGTTAAACAAGTTTGATAATGCAACTTCAGTTCCGGCCAAAAAAACATAATGCAACTGCAATTAAAAGTCATCCATAATTCAATGCAGCAGCAACAAACAGAGAGGAAACTGGACAGGATGTTCCCAAAGAAACCAGTATTTCTTCAGTCAAGTGATAAACCTTTTGCTCTGTGGAAGAGTATCTTTAACATGGTACAATACAAGAATTTTAACAATCCCATTCATCAACTATGTATGATAAGGTACATAAATTTTGTACCTGGGGACTACCAGATATCAAATGCCCCATTGACAAAACCAGCAATATGATACTTAGAACCACAAATGCAAGGCTTGCTGGAGTTGGACATTAAGAAGCTTTTTACAGAGAAACCAGGACTGAATACTAAAAGAACCCACTTCAGAATATCTGACTTCCAAAGATTAAGGCTTCAATACCTTTTTAAATGCAAATATTTCTGACGTAGGAATTGAAAGTGCCATCTTTAGCACTATATCAAGAACATCAGCAAGGGCTCTATCACCATACAGCTCAAAGACACCAAAGTTGACATAGTTTCCTGAAAGAGCTGCAAGAAGAATTCCAAGAAGAAAGTTAGTTTTACGTTAAAAAAGAAAGGAACTAAAAACTTAAAAGGTGCTTAAGAAAAAAAGATGCCACGGCAAGAAACAAGACAAACAACAGCTCAAATCAGCCAAATCTCCTTCTCTCTTATAAAATCATAAAACGCTAATGTGTTTGGGAACATTAAATAACCCAGAAGAACCTTTAATAAAACCAAAATTCTCTCCACGAATAAAGAGAAACTAAAACTTCAAATGTCTATGCTACATACTAACTTCATTCAGCCCATTTATTTCAAAGTGACATATCAACAACCTTCAGCAAATAGTCAAACATGAGCGCAAACTACAACCAGAACAAAAACATATAATCTCATCAGCAGTATCTGGCACCTAGCAATTGTCAAAATAGGAGATGGATCTTCTGACCTCTTGAGAGAATAGTTAAGCAAATCCATATTCCCTTGTACTTGTAGTCATACATGGCCCTAGCAGTAGAATTTGGAAGGGCAAGAATTCTAGTACCATACGCAACAATCAACTTGCTGACTTCTCGGAACAGAAGAATGCCGTTAGGAGAAGATGAATCAAAAGTCAACCGTTGGGCCTTGTTTAAAACAAACTCAGCCATGAACTTAAGAATTGGAGTGGTAACCTGGAACATGGAACAAGTTCATAAAGTCTTTCACAGCTTATCACTATAGTGGATACAGAACAAGAAAGTCATGAAAGAGAGCAATCATAATTTCCGATTCTTAGATCACATATACATAAGCACCTCAGTTTATACTGCAGAAATATCACCTTGATATTAACAGCTAAGTTTAAAACTGCTACAAAATATAGGTTACAAGCATAGAGCCTGTACTTCCTTTTCATGCATACCTGAAGATTTTCATTACTCCATATTCCGCAAACATTCACTTTGTATGCTTTTCCAGTTCAATTTTCGTATGTTAGTACGAGGACCAGTGGCACATGTTACATCTTGTCTAAGTCAAAGGATTATTAGACCTCTGTATAGCAACTAGGTTCAGAAGGAAAGGTTACAAGCTTAGGGATCCACGAGCCTTTAGCATGTAACGGTTTAAACATCCAAAAATACTGAACAACATAAAAGCAAACAACAATCCATTGCCAAGAAGGCCATACAGTAATAAGCTTAGTGACCAACAAGATAACCCTTTAAATAGCAATTTTAAGCCAGAAAAAAGTCCATACAAGGAAAAATTACAGAAACAAGTAGCAGGATAGTATCCAATAATAAAAGTATTGCAAAACATGAGACAGGGACTAAGAGAAAAATCCATACCTCCGGCGTATCTGCCCAAATTGAGATGCCTTTCAAGAGAAGGGGTAAGTGAGCAGGATATAGCCAATCAAATAAGAATCCATATGTTCTACGACTGAGATCAAACGAAAAGGGGTCAGTCTAACTTCTACCGAAGAGCATTAAGACTTGTACTCTAAATGGATCATAAGAACAAGGTACTGACCTGTTAGTGGCCATTGCAATCCCTCTAAGATCTCTCATCAGGCCAATCAAAGCATATCTTACAACATCCGTACGAAACACTGGCTCAGGAATCGACTCCAGATTGAGGAAAACCTAATGCACCACAAGGAAAGTTGTTGTGAACAACTTAGAATGTGAAAGAAACCAATATGCCATAAAGCCAGCTCTCAAAACAAAATAATGTCAGCATTCAATGCTCTGGCAGAAAAACTAACACACAGTTAACAAAAGCGTCCACGGGGAAACACAAATAAACAAGCAAATACAATTGGGGCACGATTCTCGTATTACATCCAAAGCTTTGCATAGGTATCAAAAGGTATATTCAAACAAAGAATTGAAAACAAAGATACAGCAAAGATAAGAACCATTTCACAAAAATAATCCAACTGTAAATGGAAGGACAGAGATACAGCCACATACATTAAAACAGACAGTGAGTTTGACAAACAATACCTTCAAAAGTGGCTCCATAGAAGCCTTAAATTTCACAGGGCTGTCTTCCATGAATATCAACCAGCCAATAATGTAGTAGAAAGTTGTTCTGCTACGAGCACAACTATACTCCTCAAGGAAAGGAAAGTTGTCCCTCTGAAAAGTGTAGAAAAGTTGTTTAGATTCATGATTCTTCATAGTGATGAAACACAATAAACATAAAAGCATATGAGAATGGAAACTACAGTATGGTTAGCAATTATGAATTTAACAGCATCCAACTTCAGAAGCAGCTTTCCAGTCATGTACCTGCATGGAAATCGACAAAGGAGCCATCAATCAATTAGTATATGCAATTAGTTAACAGCAGTACAAGTTGCTCATCTTTTCCCATCATATAGGTAAAAAAACTAACCCAGATGCCAGCTCAAGGAACAAACTCAACGTGTGATCAATGACTTCTTCACTCTGGTAGAAGCACGCACAAAAGAGTGAGACCATTGCATAACGAAGAACAATAACAACAAAGTATAAAATCGAAAAGCATCCCTGTGCAAACTAAGAAATTACCTCAGTATAGCACTTCAAATTTGTAGCAATCTTCCCAACAATAACATTCAATACCAAAAGATGGTCAGGAAGTCCAACAAGCTCTGATAGACGGGCATACAGCTGCTGAAAAGAAAAGACAAAGCTCACGAAAACGGAAGCTTCTAAGGCTTTATACTGAAGCTGCTGGAAACCTTCTTACCTTAGATGAGTGCACAGCCTGATCACCCACATAAGACTTACGAAAATGCTGGAAGAACGTCAGAACTGCTCGGTCCAGTCTTTGTTTACTCAACTCTCCGTATCTCTACAGATATGCATGACAACAAAGACAACAATAAAAAAGTGCCGGATTCTTTTCCTTATAGCCAAGTAATGTATCAGACATCAAACTAATACAAATAAAGCAACAGGAATTAGAAGTAGGCAAATCTACAACGATAGTTAAGTCAAACAGTCACAGTTTACAGGTATAATATGGTTGTCCAAAATTTTATGTTCCCATCAAATGACATGCCGAATGGAGTACCTGGCTATGTAGTCCACTATCAGTGACACTAATTAATTGTAAAACACGAGCTGAAAGCTCTGCATCAAGAACTTCTTGAGTCTCTGTGCTGCAAACAGATAGCCAAAAGATTGTTGATAAAAGCTACAAAAATTTGTTGATTTCATTAACAGAAATGAAAGAGCAAAACGTTGACAAGGAAGAAAATTACCTACAGCCTGTACATTGTTTTATCTTCATTATAGCAGCGATAATATGTACTATCCAAGCTAGTTTTGCCTCTATAACTGCAAGTTCTTTATTGTTAGAGGTCTGCAATCGAGCTCTTTCCTGTATCAGTCATTTAACAGTACATGATCAGATTAGTTTACATGAAGGCAGTCCCCATATCTATCATAAACTCCGAAATCATGAATCAATGTACCGTGTATTGTTGGAGAATAGGCTCCATTGTGTTTATTATATAAGAACCACTTCTCTCATACTGCCATACAACATAAAACGACAACTGTGAACAGCTTGAAGATAGCATACCATTGAAACATTCAGCTGGAGTGCTGACAATCAAAAGATCAATAGCTAAATGATATGCATCCCAAAAACGAAAAGAGGAGAACATGAATGCTAAAGAATGTCAAAATGGCGACAGGACCTGGAATCTGCACAGGTAAGGAAAGCAATCTAGCTGATCCTGAAGAAGTTCGACATTGTCCAACATATTATCAGAAGAATCATCCTGCAACCCATCCTAAAGAACAAAAGGCAAATGGATAAAGCAAGCATCTTCATTAGACCATATTGGTGCGGATATGGGCTCGAGAATTTGAAGGAAAAGATAACCAATGTACCTGTAGGGAATTAAATCTTGATGTAATAAAGCCTTCGGTAATTTTAGGCACAAATTCGTCAAGCAAACTTGGAGCATCGCCTTTCAGATATGGCACAGATGTTACTAATCTCGACCACAAACCTAAAAGATAGTACACACTGCTGCTGGCCCACTGTCAAAATAGGAAAGGACAACAAAAGTAGATCAATTGAATATGGATTGTAAACGGTGTTCAGACATCTCATCCAAAAATTAACTAGAAACTAAAAATCATTCATCATTTACAAGGATAAATACAAGCATTTCCAAAGGAATCACATCAAACAACCTGCCATGACTGTAAAGACTTCAAAGTGAACTCCGCCACCAACTGTATCCATTCACTGTAGCCTTCCACATTCACCAGCTCTGACAGCTGCAGCACAGTTGCACTTGTGAGTATATACATTGATGCTTACAAAATATGGGAAAACTGCATCAACTTCTCCAGACTGTTAAACAGCTTCTTTTTTAAGGACAATTAATACTCCTAATCAATCCAGCACCTAATTCCAGAATCCAGTTTCTCTAACTACCATGTCAGCATTCCTCGTGCATAAACATAATGGTGGATGCAGAATTTGGGTTACTTTTATTGGTTATTCGGTTTAATCCTAATTTTGGATTTTTAGTCATTACCACGTGTAAGTTAAGGATTCTAGGAAAGAATTATTTTATGAGGAAGTATTATTATAATAGGCTTAGTTTCTGTGCAAGTTATGCTTGTATCTCCTATATAAGGAGGATTTTGTTCATAATTTAGAGATTTGAATATAGTGAAATTGTTGAGTCTTTTGACTTGTTTTTTCAAAATTGATTGTCGAGCAAAGTCCTAATCCTGGATTGGGGAGGCAACCAGTGTTAATCCCTAATTTTCTACCACTTTCTAGAACTGCTAGCAACTATCCAAGACCAGAGCACTATCTTCCAACAACTATCAATTCAAACCTAGACTCCTGACCTAGCTATCAAGTTTACAAGCAATGAACTCAAGAAGTGAGAAGGGCGGTACATGTGAAAGCATGAAGCTGATCATTGCATGCCAATAAAGCATAGTAGCGGAAGAGAGCATGAACCATAAAGAGAAATGAGCATCCAGAATCTCATAAAAAACTACCCATAACCAACCTGATAATTTACTTTGAACCGCCCAAGAAGGCGACAATATTCATGGTAATTGTCATGTTCAGAAAGGCCTGTTCACCATTGAGCACCAGTCAGTACTTAACAAGTGACATACTACATGCAAGCAAACCCATTGGACATAAAACAATAACAGATAATTATTATATGGATCTGCCATTAGAGGAAGACCTGTCCTTTTTTCTATTTCAATGACAAAACTGTACATATATAGAGAATAGACAAAAAGACCTGGTAAAACATATGCTGATAAATGACTTAACAGAATGAAAGGTGGCACGTTACGCCAAAGTTACCTTTCCCTGTTTGTAAGATTTCCTTAGTTCCTGTCATTAAATGTGCCAAGAACCTAGAACGGGCAGCATCATTCGTGAACAAAGAGCGTCTAACTGAAGCCAGCCGAACCAAGCAATCCAGCGCCTGCAAGGAAATGTTATAATAACCTTCAGATACTGAACCCAGCAGCAAGCTGGCATGAACATACAAATGCAGAAGGAGTAATTGGCTTTGTAGGAAAGAATACTAGAACAAATTCTAAGTTTCTACTTCAAAACACCAATCCATTCAATGCCTCCTCTAGAAGAGTCTTAAAATCAAATAGTTGATGTATTCATAATTCATTACATAATATCAGAGGGGGTCCTAAAAGGCAAGTACGAGCTTGTTAAGAATAAAACTTAATGTCAAGGTCAAGTTTCAGACATTCCAGAAACCCTCATCAAACTAAGAAGATAGTTCTAATAAAGCGTGAATGCCTGACTAAAAGATATAAAATTCTAGGAAAATTGAATCAAAAGCAAGGGGGGGAAGGAATAGATAAAGAAACGTATAACCTACCTGCTTTGAAAGATTTGGCCTTGTGATCATAATCCCATAGTAATCGAAGAATATTTGCAATGTCGAAGGATCTTCTAAAACTGGCTTCCAAGATGAAGGAATCTACATCATTGGCAAGGCGTTACTTTTCAGCCCATTGGGCAACAAGTCAATAATTATCATTGTTTCATCATACTTGAGAAAATAAATAACGAATGAGACAAGAAATATTGGCACCTGGACAGTACCAAACTCTTCTGAGCTCTCATCGCTGGACGTCCCAACAAAATCAAAAGACAAGCATTGAAGCGAAAGTGAAACTGCTAGCTCTTGCAACTCGCTTACAACTGCAAAACCACAAAACTCCAGTGATCAGAATGTCAATCGCAAAAAAAAAAAAGGGATATAACAAAACTAGAGGGGGTGGGCAGATAGAGTTCAAAAGGGAAAGTGAAACAGACAATACAATATTAACATATTACCATCATTCTTCAGTTGGTGCAGAGATGTTAGAGATATTTGGAATATTTGGAACAGTGATTGATCCCTGAATGAGCAAGCAACTCTTCGATGATGAGTTGATGGCAAACCGGAAGTGCTCTGATATTTTATCATCAAACAAAAGTTTATGTCAATAAGCATAAGATGATGTGTGGATGGAAGCAAAGCTAGACAGCAGTCACATTCCAAATACTAACACTTAGTCACATCTAATTGAAGAACTCTAGTGCGGACTGCTATGCATTAAGGAGAAGGAAGGGACTAACCACATTCATCTCGGTTACTAGTTGATTCAGTATCTTCAACCCAATAGCATAGTGATCTGAAGTTGCCTGCTTGAGTAAAGGGGGAAAAGAGTAGTAAGCAGCTGAGAAGTATATGGAGGTTAATACATCAGCCACAGTATTATGCAAATGGCTCACAATACAAAAAAGATAACCACGTGTATCTTGTAACATGGGGTTTCTCTAAAATAAATGTTATACTAAGATTACCCAAGCAAATATAAAATATTTCAGAATGCATATCATAGGAAAAGGGAATGGAATAGGAATTATACTTATATGAGATCCTTACAAATGTTAATTTCAGGAGCAAACTTACATTTTCAAAGAGATTTTTTTTAATGATCTATCAATAGTAGTAGGCTTAAAAATAATGAAGACATCATAGTTCGAATGGCCGGAAACTTTATACACCGTTACCACATATTTAAGGTATTACAATATCCGGTGATTAATGTTTTGCAACATTCGGCATCACAGGCATCAAAGATTAATTGCAATCTTCCCAAAATTAGCCTTACGATTTTCATAACATTTCGAAGTTATCTGCAGATCATCTCAAGCTACACACATAAATAAACCTCTTTGTCGCTACGTAAGAATATAAATATTTTGCCAAGGCGAGAACCATGACCTGGCTCAAGAAGCTTGTGGACTCCGTAACCAATTCTCTGAATCTATCGTCATCAAACCATCCAAATTTTGTGAGTCGACACAGGAGCCTAATTAGAGACGAGATAACGTAATGCTCCAAATTCGGTCCTCGGGTGGCCAAATAGTTAACTAGATAATTCCCTGCCATCACAATAAGGAATGGAAGAAGCATTAACTCTATATCACCATAATGTGCAGATACGAGGGAAAGAGAAAGAAAAACAGAACACAAGAAAAAATGACCCACTGATGTCAAGACGAAGCTGCAAAGAGAGGCTGTGCTCGGTGATTTGATTCATCAAACTCGTACTGGCAAGCATCAACGCGTATGACGATAAGGCATTGTCCAGAATATACTGGCATTGAGAAATGTAATCAATGTTGACTGAGAATATTTTCAGGGTGTTCTCAGCATGGGCCCGCTCAGCAGAGTCCCTTGAATTGTACAGCTTATCACATAGCTCTTCCAGTTGCGCCAAGCTCTCCATAGTCAAACTGAACACACAACAACCACAGAGTTTCTGTCACTCGCTGAAAGTCTCACCACTGCAGCGGAAATTGAAAACTTCAAAGCAACTTATAGTCATAGGTACTGGCCCGCGTATGCGATCAAGACGAGACACAACGAGAGCAGTGAGTAAATTGCTAGGGTTTAAGCGACTGGAAAAGAAATGGAACCAATGCCGCCGCAGAACAGTGAAGGATAAAGATTCCACACGTAAATGGATGCAGCAAAAACGAAAGCATACTCTACAACGGCATCTAAATTCTTCTGACAAAAACAAAGAGCAGAAGATCAAGCGGGAAAAGAAACAAGAACAAACACGAGCAAGTTCATCGAAAACAATCGATCCAAACAAGCCCCAAAGTCAGTGGAAAGCACGACAGTTTCCGACGAGGAAAAAGAGCAGAGGAAAAAAGGGCCGGCGAGGAGATTAGAACCTTGAAGATGGATCTGAGATCCAAAATCTGGTATTGGATTCAGAAAGGAACTTCAATTGTTTAAAGCTGCGATCGAGAGAGTATGGAGCCGATTAAGTGGAGGAAGGAGAATGGGGAGGAGGAGGAGAAGTAGTAGAAATGGGGAATATCGAAGGGAAAAAGACAATTTCGTTTTCTTCTCTTTTTCCTTCTTGAAAATTCACGCGTAACCGGCACGGTAACCGGTTAATTTTCACGGCAAATTATTTCAACCAAGGTAGAAGTTGTAGTTTCTGAGGGGTCGTTTGATTTTAGACTTTCTTTTAGTGATTCTTAAATCAATGTATTATTTTTTTTTTATAATCATTAAATCAATGCATTATAAATTTATAATATACATGCACTTTATGAAAATGATAGTAATTTACTTTACATTGTTTGGTTTTGGTGATAGTTCTTTTAGTATTCAACATGTTAATTTACTTTTTGTTAGAAAGATCATTTTTGCACTTGCTTTTATGAAACCATATATATATAACTAGGGGTATACTTGCAACAAAAAGGGAACCAAACAATCTCCTCAAAACAATCTTAAGTTTTAGTAGAAATAGTACTATCACTCATTTTGAGTGATAGTTTCCATCACATCAAGCAAACAATACATGCATTGTTTGTGCAGGAAATTCAAAAAAAGAAAAAACAACGCATTGTGGACAATACATGCATTGTAACTATCCCAATCAAATAATCACCAAAACCAAACGACCCCTAAGAGGTCTTTTTTTCAAGGCAAGCACAAAGTGCATGAGACAAAGTGGTAACTTAGATAAGAGAAGGACTCCAAAATAAAGGCAGTCATCCGTAAGCAAGCGGATTTCTGACGAAAGAGCCTGTTATAGCCACTATACGAGCAACTATGTTAAAGTTCTGAGGAGCAAAATGACACGACACTGACTCAAGAAAATAGAAAAAGGAGTGCACTTCCTCCAAGACTGCTCATGCTCGAGAGTGTGTAGCGTTCTCATGACCCGTTGATAATTTTCTAAAAAAAATCAAGAAATTATGAGTGAGTCACCATTTAATTGGCCTCATTAATACCATGAAAATATACAAAGCGCAAAAGGCCTTAACCATAACTAATAGACTAATGGGGTCGATTGCACTTCCTTCATGTTTCCTTTAACCTGATCAATCCAAAAGGAATCCACTAAAGTGTAGAAATCTCTATCCAAAGACATAAAAGCCTACCTTTGAGACAAAGTGGGTAAATACCGAATATACCACATCAAAGATGTGATTCAACAATTACGAGTAAATAAATTATAAAAATAAATAATATAAAAATTCAAAATAAATGATAGTCCCCTTAAATAACATAAATAAATGAATTTTTAAAAATAAAGGTAGCTAAAAGATTCTAATATGAATGACGATTATTTGATGTATCGATAGATAAAATAAAAGGTTGAATTTCAACAGGAAGGAAAGTCTCACAACAATCCGAATTTAATATCATAAATTTAAATTAAATAAAATAAGTGAAGATGTCTACAAATGAGGAAAATCAAATACTCAAATTACCTTATAAAGTAAATCTTCAAAAAAATTAAAAAAAGAAAAATAAAATACATCCTAAAAATCATGACTAGATAAAAGAAACCAGTTAGACACATAAAAGTGTTGCCAAAAAATTAACAAGAGACATTAATTGGTACTCTGAATAATAAAATGGGTCTAAAATACAAATAGGGAAGCAAATGATTGAATAATTTTATTTGCCTTACCCGATGCGAAGATTGGGGAAGTACTAAATACTAATAGAAGCTATAAAAACATAGAGAATCAAAAAGAGTATAATTAAAAATAATTTGGAAGGTCATTAAATCATTTAAAAATTACGAGTATGACACTTGCCTTTAATGAAATTCATTTAATATGAAATTTAGGAGAACCCATAATCTGTGTCGGCGTGATTAGGGGACCGTCAGCCCTACCGTAAACCTTGGGAGACGGCGGACGGAGGAGAGCCCAGAACTCGAAAGAGACGGCTAAGCCGTAACCAAACATCGACCAGAGCTAGCGACCGGTGATTCGGTTGATCTGTGGGAATTGTACCGACCTATTGTTGCATCCCCCACCGAAGGTTGTGCCATGGCTTGGTAACATCAGTGTTCAATTAATTATTGTTTGAGAATTTTCATTACAAATATAAGTGTGGAAATCTATACTTTCATTGCGGAATCTCAAACTAGGGCTGACATTTGGTAAATCGATAACCGTACTGGTCACCGATAACTGGCGGTTACCGATTAACCGATAATTGGTCGGTGTCGATAGTCGGGGGAGTTTAAGGAGGCTTCGGTATACTAGATCTAATATCGGTAAATACCGACGGTTAATTGGTGAAACCGATACCGTCGGCGAGAGCAGAAGCAACGCGTGCATTGTTAACAATTTCCCCTTTCGACGTCGTACGCTTCCCATCTCCGTCGGCCGCCGCGAATCTTCAAGCTCGGCCTCGACTCAACCTTCCATGTGCGTGCCGGCGTGCCTTGTTCGTCGCTCCGCAAGTGCGAGCCGCCTCCCATGTCCAGCTGTTTTTGCCTCTGCTACTCCGCCTCCCCTTCCTCTTCCCAGTCGCTAGCTTTTTTCCCTTATGTCACGGTAATTTGGTATACGGTTACAAATCGGTATCGGTATTCGAACTCCCCTTCCTTTTAAACGATATATCGAAAATCGTGTTGGTCGGTAACTGGTTAGCCAGTAACCGACCGATTACCAGGCCTATCTCAAACCTGGAACTTTCTAAGTAGTCGTTTTGTTTTGGTGATAGTTTAGTTGAGATTGTAACAATGCGTGGATTGTTAACTATGTATCATTTTTTGGTTTATTCAGTTAAACAATACACCCATTATTTTGTTGATGTGATGGAAACTATCACTCATTTTAATATCTCTTCTAAAATTTGTAATTGTTGATACTGTTTTGAGGAGATTGTTGGGTTTCTTTTTTGTTCTAGCTATATCCCTAGTTATATGGGTAAATTGCACAGTTGGTCACTGAGATTACTAAAAACGTTCATGTTTAGTCACTGCAATATTTATTTCCATTCGTGGTCACTAAATTTACCAAAACATGTTATGTTTGGTCAGTCTTCTTTAGTCTTCGTTAGCCTTCGTTAACGGCGTCAATTTTATGCTGACGTGGATAACAAAAATGTCCGGTCACCATATTTTAACCCAAAAACGTAAAATCCTACTTGGCACATCATTAAACCCGCCACGTCATCTTGACCCAACCCAACCTATGACCCGCCCGAACTGGGGGAAAAAACCATTACAGCTGTAGAGCTGGGTTTTCGCGTGATGGACACCTGAAACATCGCAGCCCCCACAACATGAAATACTTAGAACCACCATCGTCTTCGTCAAAATCATCCGACCCGACGACGTCATCAGAACCGATGGTGTCATCCACTGAATCAAGCCTCCGCATCCCTCAGTTCGTCTAGGAAGACTTCAACCAGCACAGGAACCTCAGATCCATTTCCGTCGTCATCCCAGAGGGAGCTCTCGAAGTAGATCCCATAACCCACCTATTGAAACAACCCGTAGCGGCAGGCTGATTTCATATTGTTGCAAAAGTCGTTGGGGGTGCGGGTGGGTGCTTATTGAGCAGTGAAGGACAAAGTCGAAGGGATGAGACTAGATTAGGGATTGATTGAAGATGTGAGTTGCAAAATAGAAAGAAGAGGCACTCATACCCAGAATCGTCAATGGAGGAGTTTGAGGCAAAACTCCAAGATACAGAACAAATCAGAACCCCAAAACCTGGCACGAATTAGAACCCCCAAAACCCAAAAACTGAAACCATAAAAACCCATATCGGGATGGGTTCGTCAATTGCGACTGAGACGGTGGATGATGGAGTTCGCTTAGGTTGATTACACTGCGTTCTACTTGGGTTCGCCTAGGTCGTCGTCGGAAGAAGAAGAAAAGTTGATGGGTTTTCCTTGGTTGCTTGCAGTGACGATCTGTTTGGGTTTCCCTGGGTCGTCAGAAGAAGAAGAAGAAGAAAAAGTTGGGTTCGTCGGGGTTGATTGCATTTAGTTCAGGCGGTATTGGGTTAGTTCCCCACATCTTCTTCTTCAGAATGCATTTACTGTTGCTTTTGATTTAATGGGAATGTATTGGAGAGGTGCGAGCAGCTTAATGATCCTTCTGCCATTCGCCTAGGTTGAATACTAATAGAACTATCATCAAAACCAAACATTGTAAAATACATTACATCATTTTCCTTAAAAGAAATTGCATTAAAAGGAGGCACAAGCCTAGAAGAGAGACGAGGAGTACAGGGGAATTAAGAAGATGGAGGATCGCGGATCGCTATGCGCCGCTCAAAGGTAGTGCCTAACAAATCATCTCGAGACTGTGCTTCGAGAGCCAGTCTGCGGCTCTATTGAGGTTAACCAGCCAATCATGTCCAAGCTTCCTACGGATTACCGAAAGGGGAGTAGCATATGGATGAATTGAGTCCACTCTGTTTTGAATAAGTTGGATGGTCAACT